TGTGTGTGGGATGATGATTCCTATTTTACCGTGAAACAAGAGAAAACAGTAATCATTTCGTTTAAGGTTATTATTTGAATGAATTGCCTCTTTGAGTGTAATTAATGTAATTAATGCTGAGGATTATGGTAGTAAGTTGGTCTGTTATGACGATACGTTTACACGGTAGATTAGAAGGGTAGTTTAGAAAGGGTAGTGTCGAGTGGGTTTAAGCTCTTCAGATGCGCGAAATCTCATTTATCTACTAAGCTGGAATACGAGAAGTGATTTTGAGTATAAGAATACTGTTCTTGAAAGATCCTGTCGTTTACTTCTTAACTAGCAAAGACTCCTTTTACATTACTTTTTCTTTTTTTATCATCTTATTTTTTTTCCCACCCCTCCTATTTTCTTACAAGAAACTATCTTCTTTTATATCTTTTCTTTTTCTTCTCTTTTTTTCTTTTTTCTTTATTAATTCCCATATAAGAGTTGATACATTAACATAAAAAAAAAACAAAGTAGGAACTAAGTCCGACACTTTGAAAAAAAATTTCTTCTAAACGATAAAATGTGTTTTAATTTTAAAATAATTTCTAAACAAAAGGTGTAAAAGACTTAAAGAGTGTTTGTTGAAAACATTATAACTGCAATTAGATTAATCATCTTTTTTTTATCAAATTCAGTATACAAAAATGAAGAAGAAAAATCAAATGTTAAATTGTATGTAAATAATTTGTATTCTTCATAAAAAAAAATACAACAAAATTAAATTATTAACACACACACACACACACACACACCTAGCGTCTGTTCTTTTTCTAGACCATTTTTATTGTTGATTATTAAACTGACATTGACAGAAAATAATTCAACAGATTAGAGACAATGTATAAACGTAGTTATGTCAAAAACAATTTCATATTCTGTCAGGTCGTGCTTGTGGTTGACCGTTCGGCCTTTCAGGAATAGCAAATAGTTTAGGTATAATTTAACATGAATGAACAGGAATAATATCCAGTGAACGTTAACTGATACATATGTATTATACATATATCATTATCGATGAAATGCAATTTGTGAGGAAGTAGTAATAATATATGCTTTCAATAGAATTATAATCTCAATTAGATAAATACGAGTAATCATTAACACCCTATAGCACCTATCGTTTAACTAACATTATCTAATAATTAATTTTACTTTGAGAAAATGTGCAGCATACAATGAAATATTTGAAATACTAGCTACTCTAATTTATTAATCAATAATATTATTTAAATATTATTTATATATTGAGATAATATCAAACTCACTAAAAATGTTAATATTTCGATTTTGTTTTAAAACTTACGTAACTATTCATTTAAACCAAATAAAAGAAACATTTTTTCAAACACAATCAGGTCAATAATATCCTAACTTTAACAGAACTACTGACTAAACGTCATTTTTGACAATTTTATATTTCGTGAGAATTTATATGTAAAAAAAGAAACAATTCAACAACACCTACAATATATCGTATTGCATCGATGCCATTCGGGTGACTGCTATTTAAATCAGATAATTATTGAGTGCACGTAAATTGAAATTAAATATCGGTTCGATGTTTATCTTGCGACTAACGTGACGCACGTTTAAAAAAAAAAACATATTAATTTTAATAATTAAAACTTAAACTATTACATCAAACTATTTTTTTTTTTCTGTAAAACGCAAAAAAGGATATTTTTATGTCAATAAATAATCCATTGGTATTGACGTTTTTAACGTTGTGTCTATCATTTTATGGACACACATACTGTAGATGAAAATAAAGGAGAATGAAAAATTTAATGAGTGAGTGAAAGATAGAGAGAGATAGAGAGAGAGAGAGAGAGTGATTAAGGGACACGCTTATTAGCGGTGTCCGTGCTTTCAAATTGGTGATGACAGGTGACGAAGAGGATGACGTAACGGTTGACAAGCGATAGGGAAATCGATCGATCATACTATATATGCGTTTAATACATCGTGGTTTGTTTCTACAAAGGAAACCGATAACTGAGGACCGATTCATGCGAACAATCTAACCAAGAGTCGATTTGTTAACACTCGATGTATGAATCGAGATACCTTGCCCCCCCCCACCTCTTCGTCTTCGTTCAATCAACAACACAACATCGTCATTGCTATCATCAATCGAATTAACCTACGTTTTTATTCTTTACGATTTTGATATATATAATATATGTAATATGTGGGGTCATAATTATGAAAGTGGTTTAATGTAAGTCTAAATTTAAAAAGAAAAAAATATATGAGTTGATCAGTTATTTTACATCACATTATTTTAAACTAAATGAATTCAATGCAATGTTCACGATATTGGATTACACTGACAAGATTAATTTTATCTAGGAAAAAAAAATGATTAAGAAACAATTTTTATTTTGAATTTAATTTTACAAATAATATCAAATTGACTTGGGGTTATATGTTTTCGAATGATTTAATATGTGTTTTGTTAAATGTTATTAAATTTTTGTCGTTTTTAAACATACGACAATTCATTCGATTGAATTTTTGCGAAACGAATTATTAACGAAGTATTTATTCTTTTCGTTTTTAATTCGTTCATTCATTGGATTTTTAAATCTGAACAAAAAATTGTCTTTTTTATTTATCGTCCAATTAAAAACAAAAAAAAAAATAAAACAAACGAAATTATATTTCTAATATTAATTTTCGGAAATACATTCAATTTTATGTGAAATTACACGCACGCACGCACACACGGACGTACGTTATACATAATTTATATATTTTTTTTTTGCATTTTTCATTTATTTATTTTTGTTATCGAATACAACAGAATATGAATTTATTTCGATGAAAAATCTAGAAAATGGCGGATAAGTGGCAATAAGAATTTTCTTATATTTATTCAAAGTTCGAAAAATAACATAAAATAGGAAAAACACGCTAGTGGTTAGATAGCACATTGGAAAGCATAGAAACGTGTTCATGTGCATATATTTGATGTGTACTCTCTTACACGCATGCGTGTTTATATGTACGTACATGTATGTATAAGTATGCACGTCGCGATAACTTGGCGATAAAGTTCTTGCTCGTAAATATTAGGATAACGCTGTTCTAGTTTGGATATTGGCACATATGTTTTCATGTATGATCGATCGATCACTCGATTGATCGATTCATGTTCACGTTGTACCGTATGAATATCAAGTGTGATCAAATTTAACTGTATCTTCTCTAACTTAACAATTTTCTATTACATACAATAATTAAAATTTCATTAATCATTGAAATATTAATCGATCATCGTTAAATTATATTTATTTAACAAAATAAATATTCGTATAAATAAATAATTTAATAAATAACTTATTTTCTCTTTTCTTTTTAAATTAAATACTGATATATACCTAAATACATTTATTTAACAAAATAAATATTCGTATAAATAAATAATGTAATAAATAACTTATTGTCTTTCCTTTTTAAATTAAATTCTGGTATAAATAATAAATGATAAAATATTTATTCTATAAATTAAGATATTGAAGAATATTCAGTGTATTAATTATAGAAAAATTAAAGAATTAAATTAATTTATTTTTTGACAATATATAAATATTTTTTATAGAGTATAAAATTGAATAAATAAAGATAAAAGAGTAATCCAGGATATATCCTCGGTGTGTGTTTATATAAATGAACGATATACGTGCAATTAAAGAGCGGAACGAATCATAATTAATAGGGATATCTAATAATCTCTTACGATTACGGAAAGAAATATATATATGAATAGAGAGACAATGGTGGGAAAATGACTATTACGATAGGAACTCTCTACAATGGCGTTTTGCCAGAATTAATTGGACGATATTATGCAGTACTTTCAAGTAGTAATATCCGAAAATTCTTCGATTACACAATTACTAAACCATCATCATCATAATTTAAAAATTAAATTGCTGATACAACAAATTCGAAATGACATTTATATTTTCATTAACGATAAATGCATTTGTTTCATTATTATTTACATACACACAAAACATATTAAACAATAATGAAACAATTAAATCATCCAAATATGTTTTTTCTATAAATATTATAAGAAACAAGTTAAAACTTTCCAGATAATTCTGAAAAATTAACAAAGATTTTTTTTAAAACTGTTTAATCATATGATTAAGATTATAATTTACCGAACTAGTATTATCGCGATTTTATAATCTGAAAAAAAAAAGAAATTAACTTACGTAATAGTTAAAAAAAAAAAAAAGAAAAATCTAATTAATTCTTTAAATTAATTAATTTTACAATCAGATGTTTGAGATTAATCGACGAAATATTTTCTTTATGTTCCATTTTGTTTAGTTTCGTAGGATCGTATTGCAAATGAGATTTCGTTTAAAGTATAACAATTGAACAGGTTTTTTATCGAATAGATTGGAAAGAGAATAAATAAACAGGACGTTTTAAATGTAAAAATAATTGAAACATCTGGTCCTTTCATAGAGAAAGAATAATTAAATAATGTTTTAAACGAGCTTGTTTTAAGAATGTACTCTAACGATAATTGAAGAACCCTTGAGTTCAGCACAAAAGGAAGATTAATACACTAGGCTCAATACTTTTCAACCAATTCAATAATATACTAATTAAAATTACTAAACCTTCCCAGAACACACAAGAAAAAAGAAAACCATTAATACAAAACATAAATGAATTTTTTCAAAACCAATGATCCAGCAGCCCATGAGAACAAATTTTCAATCAATTTCGATTATTACCATAATCATTCATTCATTCATTCTACTTCTATCATCGAAATAAACAATACCTCGATCACAAAAAATAAACTGTAAGAGTGCAGTTAAAATCGATGCCGAACTTTGACACTTTAAACGTCGAGAAACGTTTTTCAACGAATATTTTTGTTCGATGCCAGAGAGTGGTGTGTGAAAAAAGAAATAAAATAAAAGGAGTAAAGAAAGAGTAAAAACAAAAAAAAAAAGAGGAAAGGAAAATAAAATAAAAGTAAAAAATAAAACAAAACTAAAACAAAAAATAAAGAAGAAGAAAAAAGGTTGAATGATATTCATTCAACGATCCACGTTATAAGAAAAAGGTTCGAACGTTTTAAAATGCAGCCGAACTTGTGCAATTTCGTTCGGGAAAGTTTCAAAGGGACGTCAAAAGGATCTCTTGGAGCATTTCTTCTTCCTACTTCGAGAGTACACGAAAATGGCGAAGGGGGTGATGCCGGTGAGAGAGAAAGAGAGAGAAAAAGTGCTGGATAAATTCGTGCTAGAAGAAACCAACGAGCTCCGATCGAAGAAACTCTTCCCCTTGTTCTTATTCTTATTCTTCTTCTTCATCTTCTTCTTCCTCTTCTTATTCTTCTTCCGATGTTTCTAGAGAGAACTAAAAAAAACTTCTACAAATAACAGTGAGTTATCTTTTTATATAAATATATATATATATATATATATATATATATATATATAT